AGCATTTAAGCTGTTACAAAACTAGAAATAAAATGCGCTTTGTCCAATATAGCTATTTTCCGCCACCAAAATTTGAAAAAAAAACTGATGGGTTTTCTGATTTTGTAACGAATTTCTAATTTTGAACTTAAGGCATCGATATCTTTAATGAAAAGCATCGATTTTATCACCTCCAGATACGATTTCTGGAAATGATCAAATCAGCTTAGAAGGTGGAAGCTGTTGTATTTACATTAGAGTGCTGCGAGTATGACTTACCAGTAGTTGAATGGTGTTCTCTTTGTCCTCCAACTGACTGTGGAGACACGTTATGGTCCGTTCAGTGTCTTGTTTCACCGCAGCTACCTTACTGTCTGCAGTTTGCAGGGCCTCCTTGATCCTATAAAACAAAAACAACATCGTTATTAACAGTAACATCAACAGATGCACAAAATCAATTAAAAACTGAACATTCTCTCTCGACGCTAACAGTCTATCATAGTTTACTTTTCTTTGAATTAAGTTCATTTACACAATGGGTGAGCAAAGCCTCGCAGCACTTGCGATACAAAAACACATACAAGAGTAAATTAGCAGACGGAAAATGAGACGGAAGTATTAGTTGAAAAACTTAATTTTGAAAGTTCGAAACCACGCCAACAAAAATTTAATAATATATTTGTCTTATCGAATGACCTTAATTTTAGGTGGTAGGTCATGGCACACTATCACCACCGCTGAAATAGCATTTAAAATCATATTCCGAGAGGCAGCTAAGCCGACAACACTTAAAAAGACGCCGGTTGGGACGAAAACAGTGTCAAACTATGAAAAAAAAAACTTGACACAAAGGCGAAGTTGCACTTCGCATACACAAGCAAAAATATGACCGATAACGCTACTGGGAAAAACTGAATGAGTAAAACTTTGGTCTACAAAATTTCTTAAGTGACGCACGCCAATTATGACGCATTTGCAGTACCAGTCCATTAGAAAAAAAAAAGACATTTACCAACTAACATGCCTCAATTTATACAGCAGTCTATTGAGCAGTAATAACCTTTAAATGTAACAAAAAGAAAATGATTTTTTTTTCAATTTGAGATTTTTTGTAAAAGTCATCCTCCCAAACGCCATATTAAGTACAAATAAATTTCTCTCCTAGTTCCGTCAACCAATTTGGAACGATTTCTATGACCGATTAAATTTCGGCTAATATATCGCGCGTTAACTGTCCCAAAAATTGGCCAAAATAGCAATTTTTAAACCCTCATAACTTTACAAAAAATGATCACAGGTAAAATATCTTTCCAAATTTAAGCTCAGGACAACAACACCTTTTGAATGATATTTTAAAAAAAATCCGTCAAAAATGGCTAGTTAAAAAATCGAAATTTGTCAGAAGAAAAAAACCACCCGAGCACAAATATTCCGTTACTTTCGTATTAAAAGTCGGAACAACAATATTTTGTGTTAAAATCCTCAGCATTGGCTGTACTTAAAAGCTGGTTATTGATCAAAATGGACTTTCAAAATGAACACATTTTACCGCAACAGTATTTGGGTCGCAACAATATTTGCGACTTAGGTTGGAAAAAAAAACAGTTCATACTATACCACAAGCATTGCTTGTGTAAATATCGAAGTTTTTACGCCCATGTTTTCCAAAACAAAAAGGCGCATAGCAGTCTAATTTTGAGTAACACGATGCAACTATGTCAATATAGCATTCGCCAAACCCATTAAAGCGAAAAAAGGACAAATAATAAAAAAAACAGTTAAACAAAATTAGATTTGATAAACTTACAACAACAGAACGACCCTGAATTAAAGCTAAAAAAAGATTGGATGCTTTAATGCTTAGAAAAAATCCAGACTTCGAAATAGAATTGACAAATTTAGAAGACAAACGATAACGTGACATTTCGAGTTCTCCAATAAATGCAGAATCCACATCGACACATCGAAAAAAAAAATCCGACGAGGATTCAAACCCGAGACCTTATGTTCCGAAGGCGCGCGTGCATTACCTCTATTGATGAAGAAGGCCTGAAATATATTGATGTTCTATAATAAAGTAAGGTCAATTTCTTAATTCTTCAAAAACGGTTTCGCTGGGGATCGAGCCCCAGAACTTATGTTCCGAAGTCGCGTGCTTACCTCTCGAGCGAGCGGTAAGGTGGCCGAAAGGTATGGATGTTAAAAAATAAAGGTATACATCGCAAAAAAGAAAACCTGATCAGGACTTAAACCCCACACCTGTCGCTTGTCAGAAAAGTTGTTTACGGGGAAAAACTAAATCCCAATTACAATTCACTTGCTCTCGCGATTGAAATATATTTGATGGTTGTTTTACATCCTTCCGATAAACTCATTTATAGTATTTAAATTTTGTGGTCCCTGGCAAAACTTTAAGCCGAGAACTTCAAGTTTGTTTTGGGTTCATACAAAACTTCAAACTAATTGCTATTCTCATACAGTGTTACAAAAGTTCAAGCGTAGTTCAAATTTTCACATTATTCATCACGTTGTTGGTTTTTTACTGCGATTTCAATCACGCTTGAGTTTGCTACATTTCAAAAAAAAAAACATGCAAAACGGTAAAACCTCTCTTGATCAATACACGAAAGTTGTTATCTTTCCGGAAAGGAGTTAATCCTGGGCATAAAGCCAAAAAAATTTTGCCTTGAAAAATGTTTCAACTGCACGGACGATTTATCAAAATACATCAGAAATGGAAACTTGGTGGACGCTGAGCTGTCCGGTTATACAAAGAGAATTTGTCAGCACCAGCCGATTCCGGGAAAAAACGCAAAGGTGCGAAAAGCGCGATAGAATGCTATCACGTAGAGCACGTCAATCGTCTACTGAAGCTGCTGATCGTCAGAAAGTGTAAGTTTCACAAGGACACTCGATTCACAATAGACAATTACGTGCGAGAAAGACCAAGCATGTTCGAGCCCAGATAAAAAAAACTAGATGAAAGATACGAGCGACGTGAAGAAGATGGTCACTAAGACAACGAGCAATCGCTTAAGAAACTGCGTTTTAACAGTTTTAGCACAAAAACCGTCAGCAAGGCAACTATCCAAAAAAACCTCCATAAAATCGGTTTCAGAGGGCAAGCTGCAGCCTAAATTTTCTTTTGAAGCAAAAAAAATTGCAAAGAAGAAAATTGTGGGCGAAACGGCGCATCGAAAAAATCACCCATGAATGGGACAACGTTATTTTCAGCTAGGAGTGCCAGTTTTGCCTTCACAGTGACTGCAGGGTCTAAGTCTGGAGAAGGAAGGGCAAAATGATGAGCCAAAAAATCCAGTCGCCATGTCTTCAAATGGCTTTTCAATCAAGTTCTTTGGTTGTGTCACAAGGACAGGAGCCAACGTGCTGTTGAAAACCCCAGTCAAGTGCCCATCTCAGAGTTACATCAACCTTCTGGACACAGCTGGTATAAACACGAGCTGGTATAAACACAGCTGGTATAAACACATGAAATCTCAAACGAAGGCTATGAAGACCAGTCCAGAGAACCTGGAAAGGTCGTCTTTGACATATCATTAAAATATCCGTTTTCTAATATGTAATTATGCAATTCTATGCATAGGAGGATCACCAAATGCATTGAACAGAAAAGATTGCCAATAAAATATTAAGTTTGTTGACTTTTAAGTAAAAAACAGCTATTCTGTTGCGATGCAGAAACTTTTTAAAGTCTACTCTATTATTCGTTATTTTACACTATCAGTCATACAAATATGAAAGCATTTTATTTCACTTCAAATTTACAAAAATTCCTTGGTCCTAAAAGCATCTAATGAATAAAATGCAGTAACGTAAAAACAATTTAAAAAAACTACAATACAAGGATTTAACATTTTTAACACCACCAGAAACACTTACTTGATTCCGTGATCAACAGACGCTTGCTTCATTTGGCCTAAACAAAAACAACCCAAGTTGCGGACAACAGTTTAAGTCGCTGAACCTCACAAGCAAATATTTAAGACTGTTACTGTAGCTTACATGTTAACTCGTGCAGCTGACTTCTCAATTCGGAGCAAAGATCATGTGCCTCTTTCTTAGCTGACGTCAAGTCCTCAACTCGATTGTGAAGCTCCTTTTCCTTCTGTTTCCATTCGGACTGCATCGTATTAATAGCGGCATCTTTCTCCCTCACTCGGTCTTCAAGCGTATGTCTCTCTTTGGACAACTCGGATACTCTGTTCTCTTCCTGATGGAGTCTGTGTTCTGTGTGGTAACAAGTAGTCTTCAGCCTTTCGATCTCGATCTCCCTCTCTTGTATTTTCTCTTCCATCTTACACGTCTCACTGCTTAATCTAGAAAACAAACAGAAATATATACACTGTAGTCACTTTTCCATCCCCCACCCCTCATTTCAAATTTTTAGTTGTTTTACGTCTTATTGTCACTAAAAGCGTGATGATATGATGTAAATTATGAAAAACAAAATCTTTTGACAATAATTTAGTTCACCAAGCCACACTTCATTGCATTATGTTTACGTTAAACTACTTTTTCAAAATTAAAATGTGGGGGGAAAGTGGAAAAGAGCCATACTTTGTCAAACAAACTAGCATAAATCCTGAATACATCAAAAACCAAACAACCAAGGCCACTAATCATTCACATAAAACTTCATTAATTGCCTTGTTTGGTAATATTGTCGACTATGGACTTGATTTTGGCAATATGGTTTACGAAACTTCTTAATGAACAGAGCAATTTTATCTACGTTGAGCTCAGTACAACTTCATTGACCCACTCGAATTTGTATAATTGGTTAATTCTATTGAGTTATTAATGAGATTAGGTACTCACTTCAAGTGCATGTCACTTTCTAGCTCAGCCTTCTCATCTAAACACAAACTCTTGGAGGGTTCAAAAGAAGACGCTTCCAAGTATTGAAATGAGTTGAAGTGTCTTCAAAGTACCCCCAGAACCGCTCTCTAAGTGAGACAACACGAGCAATTACAAATTTTGATACTTACAGTCAGCTAGTCTTCCAAAACCATATTTTCGATATCCTGCTGAATTTGTTTGCATTATTTAATTATGTCATGAAAACTTCCACCCAATTTTAATCTTACCCTCAATAGAGGCGCTAGATCCATTTCGCTGCAAACTACGGTAACAGTGTTCAAGGAGAGTTACAGATTATTAGTGTGGAAAAAAAACAGCAAAAGTATGATCCATTCCAAAACGAGCAGAGATAACTTGCAAAAAAAACTTGCATCACCGAGTATACAAACCAAAATGTTTTTTTTTGTGAAAACTTGCATGATTTTTGTAACTGATACATAATTGTTACATCATTATCCCGTAACAGCTCCATATTTTGACAGCTTAATATTTCGCCTGGTTACACCGATGGTTATTTATACCTGTGAGTAATTGGACTTGTTTGACCAGTTCTCGCTTGTAGTTGGACACTTCACTCAATGCCTCCTCCAGTTTGTTCATCTTCCTCGCCTGCTGCTGCTCCTGTTCAGTCCACCTCTCAGCCTCACTCTTCAAGAACTCACTCATTTCACTCTTCTCCTTGCTCAACTGGGACACCTTGCGCTCCTAGAAACACAATTCATTGCACACAGCTTTTACAGAGTATTAACATTAGTCAACATATCAGTTGCAAAAGTGTAGAAGAACATGAGATTTTCAAAAAGTGTACATTTTTTTCTAGGGCAAAACTTTTTTCATCAGAAGTTGCCATTTAAGCATAGAAAACTCAAAAAAACTGTTCTTTCAATCAAACCCATAACCTCAGATTTGGCAAGATAATTTTTGAGAAAAATTAAAGTTTCCAAGCAAACAACGTTCAAAAATACCAAAATGGGCTGTTTCTATGGCCATACCTTTTTTGGGGCATAGCCGTTTATGCGACGAGAAATTCTAACACTAAGGTTTTTGCTATTGAAACCTTAATATAAGATTTGGCAAGGGAGATTCGACATAAGGAAGTTTCCAAAACACTGACAAAACTTGGATATTTTCCTAGGTCACGACTTTTTTTTAATCAAAAATTCTCTTGCTCAACCGCTTAACCTCAGATTTAGCAGGGTTGTGTTAAAAAAAAACCAAAATGATTGATTTAAAACCCCAGAACTGAAGTTTCCGAAGGCTGCAGAACGTAAAAATAGACTAGTGGAGTATGCACCATCGGTACCTTTTTTTGACACAGAGGCTAAGCTGCGCTTCGCAAACATTAGCGAGAAATCGAAAAAAAAAGCTTTATAAAGTGCAAAAGAAAACGTAGAAATAAGCATCGAATTAGCGATCTAGAGATTTTGAGTCGCACGCACTAACCACTCAGTCACGGACGCTTAATAAATAACATACCCTAGCCACAAATAAAGTAGAGAACAGACACTAAAAAATTTCCAATGCTACAGTTTCTGATTTTACCAAAAAGCCAATAAATAAGTTATCGCTTTTGATAAACACTTTTATTTGCCAGTTAGGTTAGAAAAAAAGGAGGTTCGTACTAAAACACATAGCTCGCAAGCTGGCTAGTGTAAAAAACGACAAAATAGTTCGAGAAAAATTAAAATATAACAAAAAAAAGCAAATCGCATATATTTTCATCATAATTGTTTTTATTATTAAACAGGAACTAGCCACCAATAAATCAAATACAACAGTAGAATCCTATGCAGCAAAAGTGAATCAAATATTAAAATGCAAAAGTGACTATTTTATGAGTACTTTTATTTGCGACTTAGGATAAAAATGGATACCGTAATAAGTCACAACTGTCCGCTAGTGGTGTAATTACCAAAGAAATAAATGATGTTTTTTTAAATTGATGCTTTGGTTGTTTTATCAATTGGAAAATGCGTTTTCTTTCTGGGTTGTTTAAACCGACGTCTAATTTAATTCCTTTTTGCTCCTGGCTCTATTTTACGATATCCATTTTAGGCTGACCAAATGCCAAAATCGCATTTAAAATATTTGAAGGCACATTTGGCGTCAAACGCTTATATTTGTCCGAGAAGCTCTCCGAACTAACGCAATTAATAGGTCACAACCTTGCAAAAACACAGCCTGGATCCGCTCCTTACTTGATCTTCTTTTTCATCCCTATTTATATGTTATCATACTAAGCTAAATGCTAACCAAAGAGTACTTCTCCTGTTGCGTCTGTTCCATCTGCACATTCAGTTTCCTCTCTCGTGACTTCATCTGGTCCAGCTCATTCTTAAGTTCTTTCAATTCCGCAAGTGCCTTCTCCAGCGCTTCACTCAGTCTAAAATCAAAGCAACAGTTGATCCATTGAATAAGCATTTATTTACTTATTTGCTCAAAACAATAACTCCAACAAAATTCAAAAATAAAAACAGAGGCGAAGCGGAGCTTCTTATCACTTGCAATACAACAAAAGCGTAGCATTGCAAGCTAACCAAATATACAATGACATGGAAATAACAAAGTCGAAAAAAACTTTCGAAAAACATTTTTTTGGAATTACGAAAAATTCAATCACAGAAAAACAGACGAGAAACATAACCACTAGCATTTAAATTTTTTTTTTGCTATTTTCTGAGCCTTCACTGAGCCGACAACACGTGATTACAAGCCAATTGATCCAAAAACAAGAAATGCCAAATGGAATTGTTGTCAAAAAAAATAACACTTTTTTTAGAAACAGGAAAAATTCAGTCTCAGAAAAACAAATTAGAAACGCAACCACTAGCATTAGACAAGCTTTTGGTATTTTCTGAGCGTTCACGAAGCCGAAAACACGAGTTTAGATGCCAATTGGTCCGAAAACAAGAATTGCGAAAAAAATTGTTGCCATTAAAAATTTTTGAGCGATTAAAAAGTTTAATGCTTCTACCTTTTAGGCTATCAACCGACCCGATTTATAAAAAAGAAGAACACTCATTTTTCTTCCCTAAATGTATGAGCCAAAAACAATAAGGCGGAACAACGTTCCTAAGCAAAAAAAAACGAAACATGAGCCGAAAACATTTAAGACGAACAAATTTACGAAGCAAAAAAAACATGAGCCGAAAACAATAAGGCAAATTAAAATTTCTCAACAAAAAACGGAAAATATACCAGTCAGGTATAGTAAGATTTTAAAATGACAGGAGTGAATCAACGGCACTTGAGACTACAGTGAAAATTGCTTACACTGGCAAAGAGGTGCGGCAACTAAGCCGACAATTTGTAGCCCGACTCTTGAACTTTTCGGGGAAAAAATTTCAACTTCAGAATTTGAAAAATAAGTTCCGACCGGAATTCAGTACCCAGACCTGAGGATGCGAAGGCAAACGTTTAACATCCAGATCAAGTGAGAAAGGGCCTGGAAGTTGCTCAGAATCGACAATAAAACATCAATTTCAATAATAAATGTGTCAGAAAAGTTCTTTACGGGAAAAACAAAAGTCTAGTTCGTTAGTACAAGACACTTGCTGTCGCAAGCGTAACAAGAATAGCCAGTTGCTTTGCAAGTAGCGCAGACTGTTCCGACCACATTTAAAAAAATGAAAAAAAAAGTTTTGTCTTTTTTAAGGATTGACGTGATTTGAGAACTATACAAACGCGAAGAAAGTCGGCGAATAAGGCAACATCGACACTAATTTTCTTCTAAATTGATTACGAAACAAAAATCTAGCCAACAGACAGTTGGAAAATGGTCAATGAGCGCAAGTAAACAGAAAAAAATGCTGACTTGTTTTTTTTTTTATAAAACTTCACTTTGGAATTTCAAAAAAAATGTCCTTATGGCTCTTTGAATTTCAAGAAAATAGCACTTTTTTTGATGAAAAAGTTAACCCGATTTGAGAAAACTGTATTATTAGGCACAGTTTTCATTCCGCTGGGAAATGTGAAAATTCAATTCCACTTTCGAAACTATCAGTTGATCACGTTTTTCGTGGCCTTTACACTTTTTTGGTTCGATAGTGGAGTTTGCCTTTTCTTTAAAAAAGTAACTGAACTGAACTTAAAAATAAATCAAAACTCAAGTATTTATGGGCCTGAACAAACTTGAAAACTTTTTCTGAAAAAAAAAACGAGAATAAAATCATCGCGACCTATATAAGAGTCTGAACTAAGTTCATCGACTCTTAAAAAAGGAAAAAAATTGATTTTTTTTTCAAAATTGAAAATAATTGTAAACATTTTTTGAAAAGCTTTATTGGCAAGTAATCGCTAAATGAAACAACCAAAACTAGTTTTCTTTGTAATAAAATTAAGTTTACTGAGCCCAAAAAATCTAAATAAAAGTAAATTTCCATAAAACGTTACTCGATCGCATTGCTCAGTCAAATAAGACTAAATCTCAAAAATTTTAAACCGTTTTTCTCGACACAGAGAAGTTTTTGCAATATTTTTAATGTCGTTTTAATCGCATTTGAAAGGGCTTTAAAATGATATATCACTCAACTTATTCCGATCATTATTTGTAGCACCTGATTTTGCGTAGAAAACAAAAAATGAAAAAACTTGGTCACATTCGAATACTAAGTTCCTCTCCATTTGCAATGGTCGGAAGACTGAGGCACATGTGAGCAATTTCTCCCCTTATGGCAAATTTACGCAGTAAAGTCAACGCGCAAAGTTCTCAATACTGATTGGCTGAGAAATATTGCTTCTAATCAAGCGAATGATTTCCCGGAATTGAAATAGCGGGGATATGTTCACTTGGGTCACAGGACAAAGTATCCCACACGAAAGTATCCCATACCAATATACACCGATGGGCACAATGGCCTATGCCATTTTAGCCCACGTCAATTTAAACATCCCATCAAGGATTAAAAACTACTCTATGATAAAAAAAACTAGTGAGGACTAGTGCATATCTCTAAATCGCAATTTAGAAGAGCCCTAATTCAGCATTTCCTCTACTCATCGCCAAAAATTGCAAAACAGCCAATGAGTTTACTAACCCAAGGGCTATTCTGTCTGCTGGGTTATTTCTAAGTGGCATACCTTCGCGTGGGTTGAAAAGGATAATTTGTCATGAAATCGTTCACTTGACCCACAAATGAAGAAGAAAGACGACGAATATACATGATTTCTCATTGAGTCTGCTCTTATAATAGATAAAATTTACAAATAGCCAGAAATATAACAGGGTAAATAATCTTATCGCATTGCTTACCCTGAATTTTTCTTCTCCAAGTTGCCATTTTGTTCCTCCAGGGCTACTTTCTCGTCCCTGCAGTCCATAAGTTCTCGGCACAACGAGGAGACCTGAGCCTTGAGATTCACTAAAACAACACACAAGATTTTACATGCAACATGGAGGAAACTCTTCGCATGGTGCTAGCTAGATCAAAATAAAGAAGAGCCAGTTCAGTGATTTCAGTCCACTGATGAAACCAAATTTCAGTCCACTGATTGGTTTCATTATTTTACAGCTTTGGCTCACCCTTTTGTTAGAAAATTTGAACTGATTGCTTGCTGGCACTACTGGATTTAAAAATCTGATACCACTCTTAAGTGGTGCATCGTTATTAAGAACGCCTATGGTGATGAACTAAACTTGCCTAATTTTTGAAAAATAAACATTTTATTGATAAAAACTTCGTGTTTTTAGGTGCTTGTAATGTTTAAATTTTGGCTTGAAGTCCCTTCGGCTTCACGTCCCGTCGGCTTGTTGTCCTAGACCCGGCACTACCCACCGTTCTCGCGTGTGGTCTGTTCCAGCTTCGTCTTCGTGTCCCCATAGTCTTGTCTCAACTCTTCCACTTCATGACACAGCAGATCGTACTTGACCTTGTCAAAACAAACAAGTATGAAAGAAAGAAACGCACGCATTACATCACAGGTAAAAACTCCTTCAACTGAAATTTAAATTTTTTTTTGAAATATCTGTGATCTTAAGCAATCAGACTGATAATTGAGCATTAGAGTGAGTATCACGTGAAATCCATGACAAATTGGTTATCTTAGTTATCACAAGACTGGTTAATCTTTTATGTCAAATATGTATAAAAAAGCATGAATTTCCACTAATCAATTTCAAAAATTCGTGATTTGCTATTTGGACCATGGAATACGAGAACAAATATATCTTGCAAAAACATTTGGTTTCCTGCAAAAGTTGGAACAATCATCAACACCAGGAAAAGGCCATTGAGCTATTTTTTTCTAAGCAACTACATAGTTTACCCAATTTGAGATTCATTTGTCTCAAATTTGATACCTGTTCACAATTTTCGAAAATAAACCAGAGCAATTAATAGCGGGAAAACAGAGCAACTTGATTTGATTATAAATTGGTCTTATTGCAGTTTGGTGCTTACAGATATGGACTTGTTCTTCTGAGCCAGTTTGGTGTAGGGGGAAGACTGACTGAGTCGAGGGTTGCAGAGGGGAGGCACAGCTGGGATGCTAAAGCTCCTGTTCATTGAAGAGGAAAACACAGCAGACCTGTCAGAACAAAAAATAACATAGACATCAGACAGTTGGAAAAGAGTCAATGAACACAATTAAACGGAAAAAAATACCGACTGGTTTTTGAAAAAAAAATTAACTTTCGAATTTCAAAGATGCCCTTAAAGCTCTTTGAATTTCTAGAAAAATTCATGATTGGCGCCTCTCGATAAAACTAACCGATTTTGAGAAAATTGGATCAATAGGCATTTTTTATTTAGCTCGGAAATCTGAAAAAAAAATTCCACTTTCAAAACTAGAAATTGATCACGTTTTTTGTGACCCTTCAACTTTCGCCGCTGTTCGAGAGTGGAGTTAGCTTCTCTTTAAACAAAGAAAATGAGCTGAATTTGAAAAGAAGAAAAAATCAAACAGCAAAAAAATAAAAATTGAGCCTGAACAAATTTTAAGACTTTCCTGAAAACCATCGCAACCTATCTAAGTCTGAACTACTTTCAACGACCCTTAAAAACGGAAGTAACAATGAGGCGGCAGCTTGTATCACAATTATTAGTTTGATAAAAATTATTCTTATACCGTTCTAGCATATGCATCTCTCTTAAAACGATTTAAAAAATTAAATAAGAAAATGAGATGTTTTTCATTTGGAATTAAAAACATTAACTTTCTACACAGAGGCGAAGCTGAGCTTAACACCACTTGCGATACTTAGGCCACCAAATCGTGAAAAAAATGAAAACGCGAAATTGAAAACAACAACCGAAATTTTTATATGCTTGTCTCAAAACATTTTGACGAAAACCTGGAGGAACACAACAACCACCATTGCACAAGCAAAAACAGTTACCGAGTGGTAAATAAGCAAACAAAACCGGAATAAATAGTCTTAAAACCCAAACGAAATTCTGATCTGATACCACTCAAAGCCTCCTAAAACTGAGTTTGTTGCTAAGAGAATTTGGTGTTCTACAAAAATATAGAGGGCTAGAAAGCACTTAAAGCAAAAAAGAAATCAATTGACGAAAAAATTTATTGAAAACTACACTAAAAAAAATTGCAAATAAACTCATGACTTTAATTATCTTTTCCGAAAAAAATTATGATAAAAGCACGCCGCTCAAGCAGTATCGAGGAAAATATCCGAACAAAATTTTATTGAAAAGAATTAAAAAAATCGATAAAAAAATTCAAAAAATTCGACCAAATTTTTCTCATGATTTTTTCTATCGCTATTCAAAGGTCGAAGAAGCGATTTCAAATTCACAAGCAAACCTTATCAAAGTTGATTTAAATTTAAAAATGACTGGAAGCAAATTTTAAAAAACATTAGGCAAATAAGCGGACACTTAATAAGCTGAAAGGTTCCACCCTTTTTAACTCTAAACAACTTAATACCATACAATTTCACTCCCTACTTTTTGTTGCCTTAGCAATTTAACATCGCTACAATTTAAACTCATTTCATGACTTAACACCGTTTTAATCCAAAATGAAAAGAAAATTTACTTGAAAGGGGACTTCGGTAAACATAAATTCCACTTTCAAAACTAGAAATTGATCACGTTTTTTGTGACCCTTCAACTTTCGCCGCTGTTCGAGAGTGGAGTTAGCTTCTCTTTAAACAAAGAAAATGAGCTGAATTTGAAAAGAAGAAAAAATCAAACAGCAAAAAAATAAAAATTGAGCCTGAACAAATTTTAAGACTTTCCTGAAAACCATCGCGACCTATCTAAGTCTGAACTACTTTCAACGACCCTTAAAAACGGAAGTAACAATGAGGCGGCAGCTTGTATCACAATTATTAGTTTGATAAAAATTATTCTTATACCGTTCTAGCATATGCATCTCTCTTAAAACGATTTAAAAAATTAAATAAGAAAATGAGATGTTTTTCATTTGGAATTAAAAACATAAACTTTCTACGCAGAGGCGAAGCTGAGCTTAACACCACTTGCGATACTTAGGCCACCAAATCGTGAAAAAAATGAAAACGCGAAATTGAAAACAACACCCGAAATTTTTATATGCTTGTCTCAAAACATTTTGACGAAAACCTGGAGGAACACAACAACCACCATTGCACAAGCAAAAACAGTTACCGAGTGGTAAATAAGCAAACAAAACCGGAATAAATAGTCTTAAAACCCAAACGAAATTCTGATCTGATACCACTCAAAGCCTCCTAAAACTGAGTTTGTTGCTTAGAGAATTTGGTGTTCTACAAAAATATAGAGGGCTAGAAAGCACTTAAAGCAAAAAAGAAATCAATTGACGAAAAAATTTATTGAAAACTACACTAAAAAAATTGCAAATAAACTCATGACTTTAATTATCTTTTCCGAAAAAAATTATGATAAAAGCACGCCGCTCAAGCAGTATCGAGGAAAATATCCGAACAAAATTTTATTGAAAAGAATTAAAAAAATCGATAAAAAATTCAAAAAATTCGACCAAATTTTTCTCATGATTTTTTCTATCGCTATTCAAAGGTCGAAGAAGCGATTTCAAATTCCCAAACAAACCTTATCAAAGTTGATTTAAATTTAAAAATGACTGGAAGCAAATTTTAAAAAACATTAGGCAAATAAGCGGACACTTAATAAGCTGAAAGGTTCCACCCTTTTTAACTCTAAACAACTTAATACCATACAATTTCACTCCCTACTTTTTGTTGCCTTAGCAATTTAACATCGCTACAATTTAAACTCATTTCATGACTTAACACCGTTTTAATCCAAAATGAAAAGAAAATTTACTTGAAAGGGGACTTCGGTAAACATCAAAGAATTAAAAGAGACAATTTTTGCCATTTAAACCCAGTTAATTTCGCGCTACTTAATTCGCGTAAGTTTTGAACAAGAAAGACCTTGCAATAATTTCATTGAATCGTTTCAAAACGAAATGAAATGGCCTTGTCGATGTTTTCAAAGAATCATTTAAAAATGAACCAACAACAAGCAAAGTTCAAAGAACTTCAAAAGCCCGCAAAAAATTAGACGTCCATTGACTAATATGGTCGAACTTTCCGGACATTTTCAGCCGGTATAGAAAATTTTTAAAAAAAGGTTTAACTAATGCCAAAAACCTAGAAATCATTATTTTTTAGAATCATTCTCGAACTTCAAACTTATAAGCTGATCACTTTGTCAGCTTTTTTGAATTGATGGCACATTAACGCAAAGCTAAAGGGTTTGCTAGCCCTTAGTCCCAACCTAGCATCCCGAAAATAAGGGCGATTGTCCTGGGATTAAATTGCTAAGGCACGAGTCAAATTCTCGCGTTTAGTTACGTTTCCGGGAGTTTGCACGGAAACGCCTTTTCAGAAAAAGCTGACAAAAGTTTAAGTGGGAAGAAAATTTGAATTATAAAAATACAAAAGAATAAACAAAAATGAGACCAAATTTACAATAGCTTAACACAAACTAGATAATGCTCTGAAAAAGTACAAATCAGTTTTGTCTTCGTAAACAGACATTATGTTTTATACTTTTTAATTTAATACTCGATACTTTTTCTTTTTTGTGAACTTATGGCCACTCGATGCATAAAAAAAATTGAGTTTTTGTACGGAAGCGTCTTTTTACGTGCTGCCCACTACTTTCCCTATTTTTGGTTGGGCTCCGTTGAAACAGGATTGAAATCCGAAACGCCATGCCTCGACAGCATTTGTTGTTCGAGCAATCCCACACACGGCCGCATCTCGCTGGTTCCAAAGGGAGGGTGGGAATAAAACTTCACGGTTTGGCATTATGCTTTTTATATCAGTAGAGCCGAATTACAGACACAGCTCGTCAATTTTCTTTTTTTTCGGGTTCTTAACAATTTCTGTCGCGTACATTCTGAATTTCCTGAACGATCATATCATAGGAATCGCCGATCTTTTTTTTCTTTTTGCAAGGGATAACAGCATTTTTAAAGCCAGCGCTAAATCGTGATTCATTTCGTAGGTAACTTTTAGACCCAATTCATTAATTTTTTCCATGTTACTCTGGGAGAGATGGAAAAAACAACCCGATAAATGTGCTTCGGGGACGTTTGCTCAAAATCTAACAAAACTTGTTCAGGCCGGCAGTTGGGTGCTATATCAATTAACGCCTGCAAAAAGCGATTGGATATTTTTTTTGGGTTTTGTTAGGAAGGAAGGCGTAAATGCAAGCTGGCGCAACGCCGATACACTAACATGAAATGAATATAGCTGATAGAACGTTTTTAGAGCAAGTTCCATCGGCTAACCAGAAAGATGACTTCTCCAGAACTCTCAGCATTTCGGGGTCGCCGCACAAAAAGATTTGCTCGTGATCATTTGATCCACTGTCATTCCGGATAAAATTTTCAAAAATTTCAGGGATCTCGAAATTTCGCGCAACGGGGATGGGCGGCATATTTACATCTAGCTGCTTACGGAATAAATAAAACTCGTGGCCGGACGCTAAAAGAATTGGCTTGTTTTTAGATGAAACTGTGAATTCAAAAGAAGACTCAACCATAATGTGTTTACTGTTTTTGCGTTTGTTTATCACTTGAGTAAAGTATAAAGTGACTGTCAGAATTTAATTTTTGTCAGAAATTTTACGTCAAATTGTTATGAATTAGCACAAGCAGGTTTTTTATTGATCAAAATGGTTTAGCGAAAAGTCTTATTAAAAATAAAATACGAACTTGTCCATAAGAGTCTTAAGTTATTTAGGAAGCCTCATTTTAGCATGTGCAACTAAGATAAACCAAGTTTTTTATTATGTTGCGTGCGTTAATAGCAGGATTAATTTTGGTGTGATAAGAGCTAAGATAAGTATTAAGAGCTTTTAGTAGTGAAATGACTAGGTGTTAAAATGCACGGTGTTAAATTGTATGGTATTAAATTGTAGGACACCAGCTGGAAAACATCCGAAATATTTTCAGTACAAAAAATCATAAAAAGATTTGCATCTACCCACTACAAGGCAAGTCCAAAACAGGCAAAGCAAGTACGCTGCATAAGCTGCATATTTGTAAATTTACCATTTCAAACTCCTTTCTAAATATTTACCATTCTGTGACCAAAGTTATTTACGGGAAAAAAGTCTAGAAGCCGGTTGCAATACCCTTACTTATCGCAAGGGTAAACAAATGTATAAATACATTATTTGACATCGGAGCCTTTTGGTCTATATTGCGGCGCAAAAGACAGATCTGTTATTAAAATTGATTTTTTTTGCGACGGTTTCAAATCTAATCAGTTGAAGCATAACTGCGCTTACCTATCTTCGTCGTTTTCAGAAGCCAAACTGTCCATTCTAGTGGCAGCCATGCTATATCGTGGATGCGACTGTCTGTTCTGCTTGCGGACAAAGTTAGATAGGGCGGGAGATAACGCAGCCATACTTCTATTCAGATCCAGCGATGACATATTCAAATTTGACACTGTCTCGTTAGGACTAATTGAAGAGGTCGGCGGTGCAGCTGTGTTAACATCTGTCTCCGAAAAATGGTCAACGTAATAGTTGTTCAAGATAGTTTGGAACAACTCCGACTCACAGAACTCGGTCGCAGACTTACTCCAGCAAACACTTTCCAGAATATTCATGAAGAACACCTTGTCTTCCCTTTCCCCCAGATATTCGTTCAATTTCATGCTGAAGGAATCCCCACCCAGTGCATCAATTTGTTCACTGGAGCGCAGAGCACAAACAATTGCCAGTAAAAGAGCCTAAAATTAATGAATTATCCAACTCAACTGTTATTCTTGATCGCTTCATAGATAACAGATTCCAGTCTTTTTGGCAAGTTGAGTTGCTATATTGACAAATTTCTAAGGTTAAGTTTTCTACTCAAAAACTTTATCGCGCAAACGGTTCGAATTTTCAATACTGCATCCAAATTTAATTATTTCTGCAAAAATCAAATCAAACTATTTCCTTAAGTAAAAGGTGTGCCTTTCTACTCTGCTCCTCGCTATATGCCGGATAATAGAAGCAGATTACAGTATTCTGCTAACTAGAAAAACAATAAAAATTAATTGTTTCCAATCTAATCAGAAGGTATTTTATATGAAAAACAAGCTTATTTATTGACGGACAATAAATAGTGATGACGCTATCAAACCTGAAGGTCTGTGTTGAATCGCATCGATCATAAAAAATCAAACTAGCGTCATTCGCGCATAACAAGTTAAGCAGCTGCTCGAAAATTCAAACTTTCTGATCGCGTTACAGAAATCGAAAAACTTTTTTTGTTAATTACAATTTTACTATATGCTTTTTCGCCTTTGATTTAAAAGCCTTAGATAAATCTGGGACCACCCTATTATCTAAGAATTGAATTATGCAAAAGACAATCAAATTATTCAAACAAAAGATTTTTTGTCGCTCGTTTGGCGATCTCTTTGCTGTTTTGACGCCAAGTTAGAAAATCTGTTAGAACTAGGTTTTAACACTTGTCATATGTTTATGCTAAGAGATCTCTTGTGATTGTGGTGTTCATTTAAGGTTAATTTTTGGTTCGTGATGCATTTAAACTGCAGATTAATTCTCTCTATCACTTATTATTGATTGTCGAATCTTTTTTCACATTCCTTCTTAATTAATTGTTAAAATTTCAGAATTTTGAACGCGAACAACTCGGTTGGACGACAATTACAAAATTTTACTCTTAGTTCATTTACTGAGTCTCTATTGTTTTAACAAAAAATTATTTTGATTGTTTAAAAATTAGCTTCAAGTGGCATGATTGGTTTTATGCCTGTATATGCTTACGCAAGTATCCCGTATTGTAAAACTGGTTGGATGTAAGTTTTAAAACTTTGTACCACTTGTGCCGATTTCAAGTACTTGCGCATTTGATAGAGCATTCCGAAAACTGTTTGGATGTAAGTTTTAAAATTGTACCAGTTGTGCCGATTTCAAGTACTTGCGCATCTGATAGAGCATTCCGAAAAAGTCTGCAATTCCTTGGTTAATTTTCTTTATGAACGTGAAAACTCAACTTTTGGTCTATATTTACTCTCAAGTATCTATGATTTAAATGATTTTCCCAAATTAGATTGTTTTCGTTTTGTCGCCAATTCGTTTAAGTTTGTTTCGGCAAAGTAATTTATTGGAATCATTCATGACCGCTTGACGTACTTTTATTAACTGCAGTCATTTTTCGCTAGTTTTATTTATCATCCGTATAAAGAAGTAAGTTACTTTTGCTAGTGTTTTCGTCGAGAAAAATCATTCACACATCCCATGAAAATTAATGGACCTAGAATTGAGCCTGACTGTACTAGACTTTTAACATTAATTAGTAAGGATTTGTAATTTTCAGTTTCTAAACACTGCAAATGCGTACGATCTGATAAGAAGTATTTTTAAATCTTGTTTACAGGTCCTCAGAAGCCCATGTCATAGAGTTTTTGGTCAAATGTGTTCTGGGTAACTGTATTAGGATGACTTTTTTGTTGACCGACCCTAACATTTTTTCTAAAGGCACCAATACATACTAATTTTGAGGTGGGAGCGCGCGCTCTAAAAAACGCCAAAAAAACTTATCTATACCA